ATACATAATCTGAAAGAATTACAAAATAACTTTTATAATTTTGCACTTTAATAATACAGATTGTTGGAAAAAGTTTTACATGATAAATACATACTTTCTGTACATAAATATAATGCAAAAGTTCAATAATCAGAATATGGAATTAAAACAAAATTCTTAAATATAAAAAATCCTTTTTCTAAAATCTAAATGAAAACTAATATCTATTTCTACCAAGAATAGAGTAATTTCCGTTTAACTTACTATTTTTTAATCGTATATTTAGAAAAAATAAAGAGTAAGTAACAACCAAATGTAAGTTTATTTGCATTGATAGTAATGAACATTAAATATACTTCACTTTTCAATTACTAGAGTATAGCAAACTATTAATTATTACACGTTCTTAAAACATCGAAATTTATTTTAATAAGAAGCAATATTATATTAACAGTTACAGAAAAAGTATAGTTGCACTGTGTGATATTCGTAAAAAGCTTAAATTACCTGTTATATAATACCGACAAAGTTGAAGTCTTTAATTGCCATTGATCCCTTATGTCCAGTCCATGATAATTTCTTGCATACAGCATCGTCCAAAAAAGTTTTCAAAATATTCCGTGTTTTTTGAAAGTACGTTTTACCACCAATTATTGCAATGCTGTTTTTCTGTAAAAAAAACAGACTGTATTATTACACTCAATATAATTAGATAAATAATATTTATTATATAAATAATTAATAATAGAGAAGGTGATATTATGGCCAGTGTAGGTATGTAGGTATAGTGACCCCTCTTAATATCTCCGTTATTAAATATAGCGAATTCTAATAATTACTTACGGAATTATTTATTCAATAACTCATTGTTATACCATGACCCCAAGTAGAACACAGAAGTCATGAGGACATCATCGTGACCTCATTCGTCATTTATAAGTCAATTTTTTGGTATCAAATGACATCATGATAAAGTCCTGTGATATCATTATGACTTAATTATGACTCCGTGTTCTACCTGGGACGCTAATATGCTAATACACAATAACTAACATATATTATAACATCATAACATTTTGACTTTCAAGCATTTTAAAGTATATTTTAGCATTTAATTACACATATTTTCTCATTCTTGTTAAACAAATATACGTACATTTGAGTGTGTTCTTTGTTATTTAACATTCTATTTGGTTGTATACATTTCGAGTTATGCAAAGTTGAACAATAACATGGCATCTTGTTAAAATAGCCGCCTAAGCGCATTGATTATTAACCTTTTTGGAGGTTTCTATATCAAAATAATTATTCAATATAAATTATTAGATTGAATGTAGCTCTACTGGCAATTTAACACAGTTTATATTACATGTACATACTATAGATTTTTTGTACTGAACAGCTTATACATATACGAAAGAAGTGATATGTACGTATTTATATGTATTTTTATATGTATTTTATATATGTATATGTATTGTATACATTCTACAATATTTTACTTTTTTGTTATTCTTTAACCAAACTATTTTTTTTTAAAGAAAACCAATTTTTTAAGTCTATTTTTGTGAGACTTGAGAGACATTACCACTCTGTTTCTCAGTGATTATCGCATTATGCAACGTGTGTGTGTGTGTGTGTGTGTGTGTGTGTGTGTGTGTGTGTGTGTGTGTGTGTGTCGCTACATTTTTATAAATAATGTCCTAAGTAATAGGCCGCTATTTCATTTGTGCGTTTTTGTCGTACGACAAATTTTTCAAGCCTGTTAATTGGCTATAGGATAGAGAGATCCGAGAACCTCTCTGTCCTGCATACATTTGTCGTATAGCAAAAACGTACAAATGAAGTACAATAGTACCCATATGCTCGCTCGATTTCCATGAAGTGTGAACTACGAACGTGAACATAGGCGTTAGCAGAATTTTTTCCAGACGGAGGCATGAATTATGCCTCGGCCTGGAAAAAATTCTGCTAACGCCTATGCTCACATTCGTGGTTCACGCCTCGTGGGAATTCGGCAATATGTTTCTACAATAGGGTTGTAAACCGTGAGCCATAAGAAATTGATCAATCAGTCGAATATAAAAAAATCAATTATTTATGCAGAAATATATATACAAAAACACTTACGAAAATTGTATTCTAATCTGTCTGTCAGATTGAAACTCTTCTTCAAATTTTAATAAATCATCCAAGCTCGTTAAAGGAAACTTGGGTATTAATCCTTTTTCATATTCAATTGCATCAGCAACTAGTGGATTTTTTGCTAAATTTATCAATAAATTTAGCTTCTTTTCATTTTTCTGTAACTGTTTGATTATGATTTGTTGTGTGGCATATACTTGTATAAAATAAAAGATAAAATTATTACAAAAAGTCTAAAATAAAATATAAGAACTCTGATATACAAAATAAGGAAAAACATAAAAATTTAAAATTATTTTATTTTTAGTTATAATATATAATAATATATTTTTAGTAATATATTTATCACAGCACCTAGTATTATGGCATCTATCTTGTGTATTTGCTTCATTCGTCACATCTCGAACATTTTATACCTAAAAAACAGTTATAAAATATAGAAAAAATTTAATTAATACTAATACATTAAGAATTAAATACATTTTTTTTCATACTGTCTATCATCGCACATTCTAGTTCTCACTGTTTACCATTCGTATTATGTTCATCATTCATGTTAAATTCTTCATTTGAATCTGTATCCTCATTTGAGTCTGTACTTTTTACTTCAGTGTGCACTGTCATATTACAGCCATCCTCATTAATACATTCATCATTGTCATTAATGTACACAACTAAAATATATCACATACACATATACATTTTTGTTTATTTAAAAATATTTCAATACCTTTTTTATTGTAATTGTAAATAATGCCATCTTTACAAACAGGAATATAAGTATGCAATAAAAAAGTTTTATTTTTACCATTAAATTCTCCCTCACATATATGTTTTTCAATACTAGTCGATGCTTCGATAACAGGCTGTGGTATAACACTAAGTGCACAATTACTTGTATATATATTATATTTGATAATGTTTTATCTTTTGTCCTTTTCATATTGTGAAATCTTGAATTTACAGTTGTATTCTTAGATGTAATTGAGGGCGAATAAAGTTTTACTCCGTTTGAGACTTATATTAGAATGTGGACAATTAGTTTTAAGGATAAAAGATTTCCTTTAATATTATTTGTTTATATTAATACAAATTGAAGACGGCGGCGCGAACACGTTCGAGTCATACGACGGCTACACTCCAACTGTCTCGTCAACAACCCGTTGCTAGGGACTTGTAGCCAAGGCAAATTCACATGGCTGTACTGCCGCGACGTGAATCTAATCACTTTTACAGTTCGGCTGAAAAGTTCCCTGAGGGGGAAAGAATATATCCAAGATATTCAATTTTTTCTTTTAGAAAATGACACTTTTTATAATTAAGTTTAAATCTGTATTGTTTTAAAATCAAAAATACCTCTTTCAATGAAGACAAATTTTCCTCAACTGTACAAGATGGCACCAAGATATCATCAATATAAATCAATACTTTATCCTCGCGCAAAAGAGGTTGAAAAATTTGGATCATTCTCTTTTGGAATTCAGCCGGAGCCTCACAGTAACCAAAAGGTAATTTCGTGTACTCAAACTGACCATCAGGAGTCGCGAAAGCAAAATATTTAGAATGATCTGGATGAACATCTATTTGATGAAAACCATCTTTTAAGTCAAGTAAAGTAAAAACTTTCTTATTGCCAAGCCGAGAGAAACAATCCTCCATCAATGGAAAGGGATATTTTTGTTTTATGACACGATCATTCAACGGTCGTAAATCAATACACAATCGCATTGTACCATTTTTCTTAATCACAGGAACCACCCTTGCACAATAAGGAGAAATGCTCGGTTTAATAATTCCTCTTTGCAAGAGATCGTCCGTAATTTCCCGAATCTGCCTCCTTTCAGACCATGCAAAGCGTCGAGGAGAATAAGCATAAGTTGTGTTGTCTTTAAGAGACACAGTGATGGCATGACCATCTTCAATTGGAATAACAGAAGTATTTTCAACTTCACGAATTAAAGATACAAGTTTCTCATCGACTGATGGTCCGAAATCAGATTCGAAGATAGTCTCATTAGAATAGCCTGGTAAAACAGACTGACTATTATCATCCAAAGATGCAATTTCCGAAAATAATTGTATCTTTGAATTTTCGTTACCAAATGTTTCGCAAACAATTACAATTTTGTACATTTGTAAAAAATCACGTCCAAGAATAAGATCCACAAAAAGCTCATCGTCCTCCAGAACAAGAAAAGGAACTTTAAATGTTTTATTCGGAAAAATCGCGAGCTGAAAATCAAAAGTAAATTCTCCAAAAACTTTAATAATTGATTTATTTAAAGCTTTAAAAGAACGAGATGGAGCTTTTAACTGATTCAGAGGTTGATTAATCAAATTGGAAAAAATAGATGGTCGTATAAAAGATACAGCGCTGCCTGTATCAATAAGAGCATCCAATGAGCAATTTGTTTCATTTATAGCAGTCACCTTAACAATATTGTCGCTAATTCTATACGGCGATCCGATGTCGACAAAAGCTACCGTCGGTGAATGAGAAGACTGGGAAGACTGGATGGGCTGGAGAGACTGGAAAGACTGGGAGGTCTCAGAAGATTGTGACGAAGACGTCTCTTCAATCGAAGCAACCGCTGACGAATTACCAGATGAGTTTCCAGGGAAGTTCTGCTCCTTTTTCTTCAAACGAGAGCAATTGTCCCGGGTATGACCCTTTGTCCGACAATAAACACAAAATAGCTCCTTTGAAGAGTCGGAAGGTGAACTGGTTTTGCAAGAGGTCGTTTCTTCTTTTTTGGGATGATCCTTGGAATTGACAGGCCTAACAGGAACAGGAGGGGTCTTTTTAAATGGATCACCTAAAGCCAAAGTAAGAGAGTGCATCTTATCCAAGAATTGATCGATCGTTTCTGCTTGGATCAAAGTAGCTGAAGCTCTTAAAGATGGACTTCCTATACCTGAGATCAGGAAATCAATACTTTGTTTTTCAGGCAAACGAATGTTCTGCAAAAGCTTCAATTTTTGCATGGCGTAATCCTGAAAAGACTCCTTTGAAAAATTCCATTTTCTACTTTCTACTTTTTGAAAGGTTACACGAAAAGGTATGTCTCTTTTGAACCTTTGAGAGATAGCTTGCTTTAAGTTGAACCAGGAATCATTAACAGTACCTGAATTAAGATCTAACCAATCTTTTGCAGACTTATTCAACTTGCTGGAAGCAGCTAGGAGAGTCACTTGATCGGAAACATCATGGATACGGGAAACGCGTTCAACTTTCTCAATCCAAATATCGATATTTTCGTCTTCCGAACCAGAAAAAGACGGGAGTTGGGATGCTAGCAGATTGACGGCTTGAGCGACTGGAACTGAAGCTAAAACAGGTCTCTGATTAAGAATCGCAGCACCAGAAGAGTCAGAAGAAGACACAATTTGCGGATTAGTGTTAGAAATCCGAGTAGCGGCGATCAAATTGGTAACTTGTTGCATTAAATCGCTCTGTTGCTTCATTAATTCAGAAAAGAAGCCAAACATCTGCTGCATTGAAGGATCAGCAACTAGAGGCGTAGACCTCGCAGAAGGGATATCACTTGATTGTTGAGGTTGAACTGTAGCTCGAGTATTGCAGGAAGAAGTGCCATCAGGTAACATGATACCAAAATCACTCACTGGACCATTTCGCTCCAAATGTGACATAATTTGGTCAATCAATTGTTCACAAGATGAGGCCGGCACGAGTCCATAACTAAGAGCTTCATTCTTGAGTTCTTCAAAAGAGAGTTGGTCCAATCGACTTCGATCCATAGCGACTGATATGGCGTGAAGCGACGAAAGACGAAACTGCTCCGTAACCGTCGTTCAGAAATGTGTTGCCGTCTTTTGTTTGCAGATCTTCAATTGATTTCTTCTTCAAGAAATCATTCAATGGCGAATAAATCGTAATTTCGAGTCAAGACTGCCAACAAATGATAATGTTAAGGCGTCGGACTCTTCAACACCAATGATGACTCCAAAAGAAAAAAAATCGGAGGAAAATTAATCCGGAACTAATTGTAATATCCCACTTCTGAACTGTGAAATCTTGAATTTACAGTTGTATTCTTAGATGTAATTGAGGGCGAATAAAGTTTTACTCCGTTTGAGATTTATATTAGAATGTGGACAATTAGTTTTAAGGATAAAAGATTTCCTTTAATATTATTTGTTTATATTAATACAAATTGAAGACGGCGGCGCGAACACGTTCGAGTCATACGACGGCTACACTCCAACTGTCTCGTCAACAACCCGTTGCTAGGGACTTGTAGCCAAGGCAAATTCACATGGCTGTACTGCCGCGACGTGAATCTAATCACTTTTACAATATGTTCTGTAAAGTATAATATAGCATCTAAGTTGTACCTACAATTAATTTTCATAAAAGCTCCTGAGTAGTCCTGAACTGTGGTAACATTGTGGATTATGATGACATTAGCGAGAAATAACACGTTAATTTTTGTTGCATGTCCCATTTGTAAATAAAGCGAATTTGGATAAAATCAAATAATGAAATCGCTTTAAAATACTTGTAAAAATGAATCACAGCTATCCTTAACTTCTCCTGACAGTCTGTAAATAGCAGTAAATAGTCATAGAAGGTACATGAAGTGAAAATAGACTACACATGCACGTTGAGTAAACGCTGGTAAACACACTTCACGTGTCTTTTACAACTATTTATTGCTATATTTACTATTTGTCAGGAGGGGTTAGCTTTGGTCCATTTTTATAAGTGTTTTAAAGCGATCTCATTATTTAATTTTATCCAACTTCTCTTTATAAATGCTATGCAAACAAAAATTAACGTGTAATTTCTCGTTTATGACGTCACGATCCAATGTTGCCACAACTACTCAGGAGACTGAACGCAATATATCCTTCAATTCCATTGTATTATTATCAATATTGATATTTGCAGATATTTGTTTATATGTTGAACGAGATGGAAACGAATTCATTTTTCCTAATATAACAGATGAAGAATCTAAATTTTTTTTATATGTATAAGGAGGAGATGACAAAGAAACTACCTTTTTTTTATATGTAGAAGGAGGACATGGTACACAATTCGTTTTCTTTCTTGTATATGCTGTAAAATATGTTTCGTATTATTAATTATAATGTATACAATGTTGAATTTAAATATACATGGTACTGTTCACAAGTTTTGAGACTAATTTTTTTGCAGACCACTTGAATTTAAATTTGTCAAAGAAACACCATCAAACACTTTGGAGAATTATAATTTTTATATAAATGAAATTAACAACCTGCAGCCCTCGATTGAAAAAAATCTGATGAAACTTTCAAAATCACTCACACATTATATTGTACAATGATTGACGGAAAAGTGTGTAACGTGTTGACGGGCCAGAAATCGACGACATCCTGCAATATTTGTGGAGTAAATCTAAATTATATAAATGATTTGCAGTACATAAAAAAGCTAAAAATTAATAAAGAACATTATAAGTTTGGTTTATCCACTTTTATTACTGGATACGATTTATGGAATGTTTATTACACATTTCGTATAATTTAGATTTTAAGGAGGGTTGTGCTAGAGGATGTAATAAAATTTTACTAGAACAGAAAAACAAGTTCAAGATGATTTGAAATCACAATTATCTATAATGGTTGATGTTGTAAAACAAGGATATGGTACCAGCAATGATGGCAATAAAGCCAACGATTTTTTTCGAATCCTGTGATTATTTCCAATGTACTTGGCATCAGTCAGGAACTCGTACAGAGGTTTGGAAATATCTTACAGATAATGGCAAGTGGTTTTGCAATAGATTTAGAAAAATTTGAAATATACGCCAAAGAAACTGCCGAATTATATATATTAATTTATACGGGTGGTACAGAAGGCCTCCCTCTGTACATAAAGTTCTATTATATGGAAGCGATATTATGCGGAAGTTGGTTCTACCTATTGGCTATTTTTCAGAAGAGGCTCAAGAGTCTGGAAACATTTAAAGCAGTTAGATGCTATCATAGTAGAACTTGTTCTCGTAAAAAAAATAATGAAGACATAATGAATTATCTTTTCATTTCATCGGATCCTACTTAGTGCCAATAGATTACGAGAAGATAAAAAAATAAAAGAGTTATCAATCGAAGCAACACATTTAATCTAGTCGATCGATGTAAGTGATGTCAATAAAAATGAAAATAATGATAACAATATTTCAGGAGATTTAAATAATAATAGTGATTTTTCAGAAAATTGAAATATTGAAGATTGCTTCGAAAATCTTGAAAATGAAATTGATATGGAGACAAAGATAAAATAAAATGTTGCGTTTATTTATATAAATATAAAATATGAAATTAAATGTTTTGTTCATATAGATAAAAAGAGATCAAAAACAAAATATAAAAAATATAAATGCAAAAATGTAAAAAAAACAAAATATAAATATATAAAAAAAATCTTAAAACAAAAAATACAAAAAAAAGTTAAATGTTTCTTAGACTGGTACCTTGTCGCGGTGAAAGAGCTTATAATTGCATGCTGGTCAAAGTTGCAATTAAACCAAACTCAGTCATTACTAATTTTAATTTAAACGTTAATTTACGTTTGAGGTAATATTCACTTTTTACAATCTAGAGATCGTTATACATATATATATATATATCTACATACAGTACAATACTAGACAAAATAAAGTACGCAAGTGAAAAAAAAGTGTAATAAAGGCAAAGTTTATAATTAATATTTTGTATCACCACGTTTGTTTGTATGACGGCTTGCAAATGTCGAGGTTTTACTTTCGACAAGGTTTTGGATGTGTTGCTGATCGATATTTTTCCATGCTTTTATCAATGCTTCCAACAACTTAATTTTATTCGTTACTTCCCCTTTATCAAGCTTCAGGTCCAAAATCGACCATAAATTTTCAATCGGATTCGGATCTGGCGATTGCGCTGGCCAATCGAGCAGTTTGATCCCAGAAATACGAAAAAAAGCGGTAGTTTTACGAGCGGTATGTTTGGGATCGTCTTGTTGAAAAATGAAGTTGTTCTCGAGACCAACCTTTAGCAGAGACTCTTCTAAATTTTCATTGAGAATATCAATGTATACATCTGCTGTCATTATACCGTCGATTTTGACTAGATTTCCCAAACCAGACCACGCAAAACATCCTCACACTATTATGCTGCCTCCTCCATGTTTGAGTGTTTTTTGGATATTTTTGTCGATAAGTTTTTCGCTAGGCTTTTACCAGACCCGTGGTCGCTGTTTATGATCGAAAAGTTCAAATTTGCTTTCGTCACTCCAAAGGACCTTTTTTCAGAAATCCACTGACTTGTTAACGTATTTTTCTGCAAATTCCAGACGTTTGATTTTATTGGCTTTCCGAATCAAAGGACGACGCACTGCAAAACTGTTTCTAAGTCCAACTTCTCGAAATCTCCTCCGCACCGTTCGTTCGGAAATATTTAATTGTAGGTTTTCTCGAATAACACGATCAGTAACAGTTGAATTTTTCTTTACTTCCTGTATGATTCTGCGGTCTTCGATTGGATTTGTCTTTTTCTTCCGTCCACGTCCTGTCTTATCCGCTAGTGTGCCAAGCTCCTGGAATTTTTTCCATATCTTTCGGACTGCGCCTTCACTTACATTGTACTTGCGACCGATTTTTCTATTAGAAAGCCCCTTCTGACAATCCTGAATTATCAGTTTTCGAATTTGCAAACAAATTTGCTTGGTTTCCATGTTCACTGATGAAGAATTCTTACTATACTCTATCTCTCTAGCAATATTATTAACTGACAAACCTGCTTTATTCATTTGTTTATATATCCTACATTGTTATATTTATGTATCTTTCATCATCAACAGCGCCAGTTGTTATTATTTTCATAAACAATGTTGTGCGTACTTTATTTTGTCCATGATAAATTTGATAATAAATGTAACGGACTTGACTATTAAAGGATTTCGAATTGTTTTTGAAATTTTTGTAATCATTATTGCAAAGACTAAAATACCTTTCTTTTACCTCATTCATCATTATGCTATCTGCCAGGACTGGCGAGTTATTTACAATACATAAATGTGAAAATGTTTGGAGTGCGTACTTTATTTTGTCTAGTACCGTATATATGTACATTTCAATTTTTTATTTCAATTTTTGTAAAATTTCAAAAAAATGTCCTCTCTTCATTTTGCCTACTAGGAGGTATCCTTTAAATGAAAATACAAGTAAATATACTTATTTCAATCAAAGGACAAGTGTATATACTTGTTTCGGTGTAACATATTTAATAACGATAAATTCCAATATTTTTGATAAATATATTTTACGGTCATTTTGAATTTTACTTTCGTATCAAAAAGTTAGCAATTTTATGATGTA